AAAGTTGAGAACTACCTGTTTTCAAAATGCAAAACTGAACACCCCCAATCCCCTTCAATCTAAGGGGATTCTCAGCCAATCAAAGACTAACTGAGTCTTGCCAAAAACATGTCCAGATAATAACACAAATTCCATCAAGAAATAAGGAATCCAGCCATGATCTTCCAACTGGTTTCTTTACAGCAGCCTAGAGAATTTTCTTCTTTAGAGAAATGACGCTTCTCCCCCAAATGAATGAATATGTCATCAAAACAGATTTTCAAAGAGATTACCTTTTCTCCCGGTCGAACACTGCCACACTTCAGGAGGTTAATATCAGTCCTGCAGTGATCCATAAATCCACAGATTAGGCGGTAATCGCTGAAAATTATGGCCGTCATTTTGGTGATGTACTGGTGACACTGATATTCAGTGATGTTTCCTCTGTGGTCCACCAAGCAGGATACCAAATAACCTTTTCCGACTGGTTCATCAGCGCACTCTTTGATCTGTTCGGAAAGATCCAGGATAAAATGAATAGATGCCTTGCCTAGATCTTGTGGAGAATTTAGTTTACCAAGTTCCCATCCATTAGTTTTCGGTACAGAGTAAAAACCCAGACTCCAATTCTCAGAGAAAAGGGCTAGAACAGATATTAAGGCCTCAGCAGTCTTGGATTCCCTACAAGTATTCAGAGAATGAAATGTTAACATGTCAGTCTGCTTGCTCACTCTGAGAAGCCAAGATGGACCTAGTCTAGAGTAAGGGTATCCAACCTTGGTAACTTTTAAGACTTGTGGACCTCAACTCTAGAATTCCCCAGTCAGAGAGGCTGGGTGGGGAATTCTGGGCATTGAAGTCCACAAGTCCACAAGTCTTAAAGTTGCCAAGGTCGGACACCCCCCCTCCAGGTTCCCTGAAGGAAGAAATGTTTTTTGAGGGGGAACTCACCTATTATACTGAAAGCTGAACACCAAGCCCTCTTACAATTCCTCTTTAATAAAAACTATGTTTTCACTGTTCTTGCAGCAGGGAAACTAATCAAATAAAACTATTGGGTGCAGTTGGTGTTACTAATCCAAGTGCATTTTTAAAGAATTATTCACTGATTTTGTTATCAATGCCCGTCTCACTACTAGATACAAACTGCATAAAGTATTACCCAACTAAAATCCACAAATATCTTTTTTGTATTTTAGAAGCTTTTCGCTTAGAGTCAGTAAACAATATTTGAGTGGTATTTTATCTAATGAAAAATAGTCTACAAACAACTCGAGGGTGAAGGCATGAAATGCAGAGAGCTAAACAATCAGTGCCACCTTTGGTCAACTTACTAATCACATATTGACAGTTTTATGATTCAATATTTAATTTATTGGACCAAACAAAAGAGAATTAGCTCACTATAATATACAAATGATTGCCAGAAGACTGGTAATTGGGTGGGGCCATTTTCGCCTTCAAAACCAACCCTTGGCTCCATGCAAGATCCAAATTAAAGATTTTGTATATCCTCTTCCTTCAGAAGCTACTGAAGAATCTGGAGCACACTTAGAAACTTCATTTGTACTGTTGAGAGGATTGCAGCTGTGTGTGTAAGCTTCACCTAAATCCTGCTTTCCAATTCTTCATACATTCAGTTGCAGGCATGTGCAAAAGATGATACATCTTGGCTATGTCTGTGCCCAGGATTTTTCATTATGGTTTGTTGAATAATAGCAATAGCACTTATACCGCTTCACAGTGCTTTTACAGCCCTCTCTAAGCCTATCACCTGCCCCCCAATAATATGGGTCTCATTTTACTGACCTCAGAAGGATGGAAGGCTGGTTCAATAGTCAGAGGAAGAAACAGGGAGGACTCATACAAATGGATCGGGCAGTTAATATGGCAGTGCAACGTTTCTACTTTCTGACTTGCAAGATTCTATTAATGTAGACTCACAATAAAGTAGACTTAGCTCATCTGGTCATGTGTCCTGTCTGGTTTATCTGGGACAGCTAACAACCTCTACCCTGCACCATACAGGATATGCTTTCAAAATCCCGATCCAGGGTCTGGAGCTGGTGAAAGTGTGAATGCAGTGACACTGGCTGAATTTGCAGCTATACCAGGCAGAGTTGACAGGGAAAATGGAGTTTATAAATTAATGCCTTATCTATCAACATCTTCCATCTCTGTCAATCAACTCAGAACTCTCTCAGGACTCGCACTGCAAATTACTAATAAGCAAACCCAGTTAATATTTTTCTCAGGCTTTCGTGCTTAAGGTTAGCTAAGCTCCTCCTGTTTGTCAGCTGTTCACTGACTCTTGCTGGCTCAGCTTGGTCATCAGCTTGGCTTTCATTTGGGAAGTTGCTTCTTGTTTGGAGATCTCCTGACTGTCACCCTCCCAAGTACCAGGCGGCTCTCTCCAGTTTCTCCATTCTGCACGACTCTTTCACAATCACTGAGGAAGCGAGTCTCAATCCCATGCTCAGGGTCTGCAGACAGCACTAGAACCCAGTGGCACCACCAAGAGGGTCCTCTGGAAGTGACCACTCAATCATGCTGCCCAGAGGACACTTGATCAGCCTAGGCAGGCAGCCCCAGTGTCCCCAAAACCTGCCACTGTTTTGCACTCCAAAGTCCGGAGAGTCATTATACTGGAGGACTGGACTAAAAATAATAGTAAATAAAATTAGTGATTCGTGGGATATTATATGTGTCCGGGGAATATCATTTTCTTCCCAACTCTGCACCCTTCCCAACTTGTGGCCAAGGGTTTTCCAAAAACAGAGGGTTTGCTTCATAGAGCATCACGGGGCTTATCTGTTCCCTTATTTTGTTGCATGTTATGCTGCTTAAACATAACTGCTTGTCTGTCCCCAACTTTTCATTCTGGTTGTGCCTTTAGTAACAATTTGACTATTTTATACCTTTAATTGTCTAAAAGCTAATTCGTGAAAAAGGTATGTACAAGTATGGAAAATAATAATCATACTGCCAAGCTCAGAAAGACGCCTCACACCTCCCAGATTCCATCATACTGGGGTCAGTGGCACCACATACTTCTGGATGATCCAAGCAATTTATTTATTTATTTATTTGTTTGTTTGTTTGTTTATTTATTTATTTAATTTCTACCCCACCCTTCTCCCAGCGGACTCAGGGCGGCTTACAGCCATCTAAAAACAGGTACAAATACAAAATACTAAATTTAAAATGTAATTAAAATAGAATATTAAATTATTGGCCTTTTCTTTTTAAAATTATTTTAAAACCAAATTAAGATAACCCTTAGGCCAGTCCTGCTAGCTTAAATAGCCATGTCTTGAGGGCGCGGCGGAAGGAGGGGAGATCCGGAATCACCCGGATCTCTGGGGGTAGTTCGTTCCAGAGGGTGGGGGCTCCCACCGAGAAGCTTGGTTGGAAGCTTTGCGCTGATTCCACTTCTCCTTTCAGGAGAGAAGTTCCCTACTTTCCCCAGCGGATTATTCAAGGCAGTGGCAATTCCAAAATTAAAAGCAAATCAAAATCAGCACAGAATTCCTGCATCGTCAGTGGCATAGCACCAGATGTTCCCAGTTATCCACTCAAAGCACCATGCCAAAGAAGGGCAGTTTGTAAACAGGGCCAGCTGGAAAACCTGGTATGGTTCACGGAGATATTTTTAAAAACATGATCTCACAACTGCCTCCTCTGAAGTAGTCAGAACATTTTCTTAGCAAGCCCTCATTATCTCCAACACTTAAATAGACATTATCAATCCAGATAGGGACAAAGAGAGAAAAGGTGCAGCCTACGGATGGAATACTAATGTTCCAGGAACAGACTTCAGCTCTTTCTCTCTCTCCTCGCAGTTTGCTTTTAACCCTCTATTCAAGTCTGTTAAGGAAGATATTTGTCATTCTTTGGCTCAGATTTTGGGTCTAGGACAATTTGCCACGGCCAACTCACCATAGTCAACTCGCAACGGCCAACTCACCCTGGGAGAAGGGTTATTACACTAATATCAAAGAAACGGTGGAATAAAATAATTAAAGAAAGGAAGCCAAAGGAGAAACAAAATGTGATGAGAATGACAAAAAATAAAATATTTTTAAAATTACTTTAAATAATTAAGTTGAATTGTTGAATTGTTCTGTGGTGAGTCAGCCGTGGCAAGTTATCCTATTCCAGGGGTAGGCAACCTCGGCTCTTTTATGACTCGTGGACTTCAACTCCCAGAATTCCTGAGCCAGCTTGGCTGGCTCAGGAATTCTGGGAGTTGAAGTCCACGAGTCATAAAAGAGCCGAGGTTGCCTACCCCTGTCCTATTCCATCAGATTCTGAAGCTCCAGGGCCACCCATACCGGTCCTGCTGTTGGAAGACGTTGTGCTCGTTAAACTGGACACTGGATCCCCCCCCATGACCGTCTTCGGGCTGCCCGTGGAACTAATCCAAGGAAAAGTATAGTACATCCTAAAGCAGAGCTTCTCAATCTTGACTCCTCCTAAAATGGTAAATGAATTGTGCAACTCCCACTCCCTCCATCCCAAATGCATAAAATTAATTGCATTCACTGAGGTACGGTTGGACAAGAAATAAATGCACCGTACTTAAAGATGCGGATCCTGAATCACAGTTTGAGAAAGGAGCTTGAAGCCACCATTACTTTTTAATGCATTGCTCTCATACTTTTCGTAACTAGGAAAAAGCATAGACTAAATCTGGAATGGAGGTTAGTGGGGGGGGGGTTTAAATGTTTCAAATTGTATAAAAAACAAAATCAATTCAGAAAATATTTATACTTTCTGGAAGAATAACTCAATGCTTTCACGTTTTACTCTACATTTTTCAGAAAAGGCTAGTCAGGTTCCAGCCTCTGCCTACCCCCTCCAAAATCAAATTACCTCCGATATAGTAGATTTGCAAACTTCTCTAGCCACCGATTCAAATTTTGGATCTGTAGTCAGGTTCAATTTGTAGTTCCACAGCAGCTAAAGGGAAAACAAGAAACAAAAGATAAAACGTAACTTTTAAAAATGCTCCTTTGGAATCTTTTTTAAAGCAACAGCTCAATCGGATCTCACATAAATCTGACATTTTCCCTCTGATATCAGGACTTCAATTTAGATTAATTTATTTAAAACATTTATATAGCCGCCAACTCTGGGTGACTGGCAAAATGCATAAAACAACATTTTCTGCACATCACATTAATCTCTGCATTCTGATATTTAAGAATCAGGCAGCATGTAGATCAGAATTTTTTTTCTGAAGGTAAATGAAAGTTATACTTTGTCTCTACGTGACAGGAAGAATCCAAAAGCAAAGAAAGGGTAAACTGAATCAAGTCTTAAGCTTTTCTATTAATGACCATATTGACAACTATTCCATCTTACCACCAAGTAAGGCAAGTAAATGGCAATTAGCATAGAACTTTTAGGGGCAGTTTGATACAAATGATAAAAGAGAGGCAAGGAGGGGGTACTGGACACGTGAATCTACTAATTAAAATTCACACCAACTAATAATGCAGCTAGATAGAGGCCTGCTCCAAAAAGCTCAGTATTATGTGATGAGAACTGTTACTCTATCCCCTTGAGACCTTATTTTCAGCACAATGCAGCCTTCTCTTGCCCTTGAAAGGGGTGTGTTTCTCTCTGTTCGTGTGTGCGTCCACGCACCTGTTTTGCTTTAGTTTTCCATCCAAGGAAACTGGGTGCAGTGTAAATGCAGTGCCAGTTACCCACCCACCTTATTTTCTTTGAAATCACCAGGGGAGTAATTAAGATGGCACGCAATTGGAACAATGCTAGAATTGCACTTTGTGCATGCACCCTGTAAGAGAGCTGTTGCTGTTTTTTATATGAGCCTCTTCCAAAAAGCATCCAGCACAGAGCAGCAGAGACCAGAGGGTGAACTGGTTGCAAAGAGGAGCAACAGATCAGGGCAGCCAAAGGAGAAATTACTAAACAATGAGCTGACTGAATAGAAATTGTTTTAGAGCACAAACTAAGTCAGTGCTACTTTCAGGGAAATTTATTTGGTTGCATTCCTCTCAGAAGCTTAAAGAAAAACGACCGATTGACTGTACGCATGGGAAAGTTTTGCCTTTCGAGCACAATGCCTTTCAAACAAGCATTACCCAACAAACAGAATTCTGACTTGCCTGCATAGGCAGCCATGGCAAAGTAAAGAAAGGTGAGCCTTTTCCACTTGGATGGGTTAGTCAGGACCCCATGAATTTCCCCCCTCTTGTCAAAACAAATGTGCTCAGTGCTCCTGAAACAACAAGTGCCAAACCTTTTTTTCAAAAAGCACACTTACGTGGTTGCAGTCAGATGAGATTTCATTATCCGGCTAGAAACAGAAAAGAAAAAAAAACTGTATTAATTCAGAGGTCAGGGTACCCTGCTTTCCTTCCCCACAAATAAGCCCGTGCCATTGTCTCAAAGTAATGTGCACGATCAGACTAACCTTGCAAACCGCTCTGCAAAGGTGAGCAGCCCGCAGATTACATGCCGGTTTATCTTGTCTAATCAATTGCTACCACCAAGGAATTCGCTTCAACTCAAAGGCATCAACTACAGTAGTGGCCAAAATTGTGGAAACCTTTTGGGAAAAGTGTTCAGCAGAAATGCCACCTTTGGTTAAGTTTCCACCCATTTTCCTTCTAATTTCTTTATAACTGTAGCCTTGTTCACTTAATAATGCTATTTTGCATCGCTTTCTGGGCGACCAGTCAACTCTTTGCACCATGACTTTAATTTTATGACGTTTTACAAGCTCACTAAATGAAAGAACACCAAAAAACCCAACCAACTTTAGCCATCACATAATAAATACACTGACAAATGTCCTCCTCTCAGCTGAATCCTACTGGATCCTACTGTGATCTGATTGGCTCATTGCCAAAACAAGATGACACCTGATTGGCTCTCTAAACACTCATGCTCATTGGCTACAATCAGATGAAGGAAAGCTACCTGATATCCACCTACACAAGTTGTGCTTCCTTTTTCTGGTTATTTGGCTATAACAGTTTCTTGGAAGGAAGCGAGTAGGCAATGAAAAAACCATCCTGTGTCACATGAGTTTGAACTTTGAAGCTTCACATGGGAGCCAGTTTGGTAGTTTGGTCTAATGGTTAGAGCACCAGGCTAGAAAATGCAAGGTGGTAGGTTCTAGTCCCACCCTGGACACAAAAGTCAGCTGAATGACTTTGAACCAGCTACTCTTTCAGGCCAGCCCACCACACAGGGTTGTTGTGGTGGTGGGGGAAATAGGAGGAAGGAATATTAGCCATGTTAAATACATTCACTGAATGTATTTAAAACAAAAGCATACAACTTTTTCTGTCCATAGAGTTTTTGGATGACCAAAATCTAAGAACCACAATCCAAGAAACAAGTCTAGGACAAAAACTACTTAAATGTGAGTCCTATCCGGGCTTGTATTTAATCATGTCACCTTTCATTTAAACATTTTAATTTGTTAGCCATCTGTATATCTCAGAATCCATACAGTTGCTCTATGGCCTCTCCTGGGACAATGGCCACAATTCTAGCGAAAAGAGAAATGCAGGGTTAGATTTCCTTTTACTTTTCTAAATCCAGATTAGGGAGGGCTTTATACAGGCTTTCAATAAGAACCACATCCCGGCAAACAGGATGTGATATTTATAAAAGCAAAGCAATTCGCGTCTCCATAAACTGTTCTGCCACCGCTTATTAAATATCGTTTGTGAGCAAAAGAAAGTGCCTTTCTGAACTTGGACAGACCTACTGAAGGATATCTCTCTTCTGCCACAGGGCGAGTCCCTCCTTCCCACTCTGATACACATTTTGAACTGTGGACCAAACTGGCTTCCAACAGCAATCTAGGAAAAAGATGCCCTAGGTAACAAGAATGAAAAGTACTGAACTATAAATCTGGCAGTGCTGCTGCAGCCACCTTGAACTGCAATAAAAATTGGCTTCCGTTGGTAAGAATGACCTACGAAGGAGGTCTCCAGAACAGTCAATCTGCTTCCTGAAATTGCCAACACTTCCAGAGTATCCGAGGCTAGTAATTTAGTTCACTTTTTAGTAGGCTGTAATAACAGGCTTCAGGGCTTTCTAAAATGGTTAAAGATGGTGGTATCTCCTTCCAGATACTTAGAAAAGCAAGACTTGCTGCAGACCACGCAAGCTAAATGCATTTCATGTCTTAACAGAAAAAGAAGTTGCTACGGCTGAGCTGATATCCTGCAGAGAATAAAATATTTAATTTCATTTATTTTACAATATTTGTAGCCCACTCTAATCCTAGCCAATCTGGGCAGGGTGAAACACTGTCCAAAATTGGGAGGGGGGGAGAGTCCACCTAGAGTCCAGCTTTTTACCCCACTCACAAAAAGCAAAACCCCAATTCTCAATGAGTGTGGGATTTTAGGATAGAGTAGGTCCAAGCGACATTTCTATAAATGGAAAGGGTGGGGAAAAGAGCAAGGAGAACGCCTTCCGGCAGCCTTGGAGAAGTTAATTATTGAATAGAACACTTTCTCCGCGGCAGACTGTAAAGGATCCCCTTCTGGGATTGTTTTCATGAAGTTCCTGCCACTTAAGCGCTTGCATTTGCAGTCTACCAAAATGATAATGTCTCTTCTGAAGATGCAAAGAGAAATGTTTTCTTTTCATAAATTCTTGAATTTATGTAAATTTAAAGTCAAAGTAAAGTAAAAGAACTTATGATGCAGAATAAGAACAGTAAAACTGTGCTCCTACCATAGATGCCAAATACTTCATGTATGTTTTCACATGCTGATTATGTGTGTACTCTTCATTTTTTTTCCATTGGTTAAGAAGAGAAATGCTTCTGTGTTGTTTAAATAATGTTTGGGTTATTTGTTGAGGAAAGACTTGTCAAAACATATAAGCTTATTGCTACACATAAAAGTCTCTTTAGTGATTAAAGTGATAAGCTTCCCTATCACTACAAGAGCCAGTTTGCTGCCTAATAATATGCCACGCGTGTCTCTGCTTTGATACCAAGTAAAATTATTCTAGTATCGCTTCGAAACATCTGAGCTAACAATTGCTGCATAATGTGCACACCTACCTTCTGAAATTGAAATCTACATCAATCACAGAAAAATAATTATGCATTAAGTTTATATACTTTCTTTTACTAAGTAGGCGATTAAATAGAATCCTTCTGACAGTGACTTAAATCACTAAAATTGAGTTTTCCTGAGCAGGGCTTTAAGCCACGATCTCAATCAATTTTGCTTAAATTAAATTGGGCCATAAGATAATGCCCAAATGCCAACACGGCTAAGCTCTTCTGAAAAGCTGGCACTGGGTGGGATGGTTCTCCTTCTCACAAGACACCTGATAATGAATTGTAAGGAAAAGAACACTTCCTGTTTGCCTTTCTGAAGAAACCGACAAGACAAAATGTTATCAAGGAAAAACGAAGAAACCACAAACAGTGTAAGTTATATATTTTTAGTTTGGTTCCCCCACTGTGCCAAACGGACAGGAAGTAAGCTGACCAATGAAGGGGAAGAAAGCTCAGAAGACAGAGGTTGAGACAACGAGGCCTTCACTGAATCTGAAACGCTATCGCTTTCAGCAGTTTTTGTTTTTTTATTTTTAAGAAAAGCTTGCTATCATTTTCATGGACTTCTAAAAACTGGTTTCCAATGCCAAGGCAAGAATAGAAATACTGATTTATGTCTAAACCGAAGCCTTAGCAATTTCACGTAAAAGGAAACATTACAAGCCATTTCATTTTTTTTTCCCAGAACTTCCCTTCCACCCAAAAAAAGGCCAGGGGGGAGGAGGGAGAGAGACGGACGACAAATAACAGGATGCCAATCAATGTCGTAAGGCACCACTGAGGCCGTGAAGTCCAATCCTTTGTTCAGGCATGAACCACATCAAAGCATCCCCCACAGATTGCTGTCCAGCCTCTGCCTAAACATGCCCAGCAAAAGATGGTCAACCTCTGGCTAAGTGGCATCTTGTGTTTCTTTCTAGATTTTTTCACCCCACCCCAGCCCAGTTTCAAGGTCTGGTACTCTGCCAGTGGGTACTGGGCAGCTAGTTAATGCCCAAATAATGGAACCTGGCCCTAGATTGCTTCAGTTCTACCCCACTATTATTTGCAATGTTTTTTCTCTTTATATTATTTTATGGTACTGTTTGTCATATTTAACCATCACCCCCATACATTATATCATTTGGATACAGTGGTATTTCTAAACTGCTTACTGGCGATTATTAACATTCTGATGGTTAGATAACCTAAACCCTTTAAAGATGAAGAAAAAATAGACACGCCAGTATTAACTATGATTTCACATCTAAAGCTAAGCCCTCAGTTGCAATTTAACTCAGCCGCATAACTAGGCCCATATTGATCACCTCTATGTTAATCATTTATCTGCGGGAAGTAAGAACAGCCAACTTTCTGCTCATACATTACAAAAATATCTTTCTGCATGATTGCCCTGGGAGAATTACTGTTTCTTCTTGGGGTCCCAAATACCTGTTTGCAAGCACAATTTCTCCACCAAACAAGCCCCAACCTTTCTGAAGCATTTACACTTGGTGCCTTCACACAAACAGAGTGAGCCCATAGCAAGACTCCTTTTGGAAAATACCTAGGAATTCAGGTTATCTAAAGTGCTAGGGCAGAGGTCTTCCAACTTGGCCCTTTTATGACTTGTGGACTTCAACTCCCAGAATTCCTCAGCCAGGCTGAGGAATTCTGGGAGTTGAAGTCCACAAGTCATAAAAGGGTCAAGTTGGAAGACCCCTGTGCTAGGGAGAAACAGATTGCCAAAAGCCTCTCATCCTATTGCAGCAATTACAACGTCCTCTTAGTTGTTTCAGGATCTACAGACAGTATGGGAAGGCTCTCTTCCATTTAAGACTGAGAATCCAAGAAATCCACCCTGTCTATTCCAAGCTGTTTAGTCAGAACAAGGGAATGACATTTTTCAGCTGTTCTTCCCAGGTTTGGGGGCCACCTTTGCAAGAGTATCATATCTGCATAAATCACAATAACTTTAGACAGGCGTTTGTGTTTTTTTTAAAAGAAGGTACCTTATTGCCCTTTTAAAAAAATGTAACCATACTGGTTTTCATAAATATACAAATAAAGTGAGGTTTGAAGATTAGTTTTCCCCCTTTATTTTACTTATGTGCTGCAGTGATCCAGTATTTTTGTAACTGAGTGGCATGTACATTGTATAAATAAACAGAAAAATGAAACTTAAAAATACAATTCGGTTACATCAAACCAAACTATACATTAAAGAAAAAGAAAATCTTATTGTAGAAAAACATTTAACATATAGTCTGTTAAAAAAT